GGCAAAATTCATTCTCTCAATTCGTCGGCCATGATTTTTTTCAGACGTTTGGAAGCATTTTAAAATTATATAAAATCGAAAATGAAATTGTTCACAATTTTTGTTATTTGAGGTTGGAAATGAGAATTCGTGCGTGAGATTGAGTTTTGAATTATTAAATTATATGGCTGGAAAAGTCAGACTACCTCTCAATGGTTTCACCTTGTTATGTTTTTATCATGGTCTAGACGATTTATTATTAACCACTGGCAGCCCCATTGCGAAGTCAATTTGGCACTGCCACCCAAGAATGATGGAATACAAGATTGCGCCCATCAGAGAGGATTTTTGAGAATTAGTTTTCTGTGACATCACACTGAGGCAATTGCGAGAGAGAAATGCCAAACCGCGAGCAAGAATGGAAGAAGAAAAAAAAATTGGCAAGGAAAACGTAAACAAGTTGCACAAGTGTGACGCCATACAAACAACGATGCTGTCAAATTCACTGAGAGCGGAATAGCGGTATCGAGATGGGCGCAACATTTTTTCTCTACACTATATGATTTCATGACGCCGTTTTGGTATTTTTTGAAATAATTTATGGACCAGAACGCAGAATTTTTAAATTAATTTTTCTATAAACAGTTATATTTGACCGCAATTTGTAATTCTATTATAAACATCTGAAATTTGTCTCACTAATTTAACCAAATGCAAAACTGTCCGTCGGGAGACCGACTACCAAGATGAAGGTGGTTCATCTGGAAAGGCTTGTAGCGTCTGGAACAGCAAGGGTGTCTGATCGGGTTGATCAGATTAAGGTGGAGGGCATTGTGAAGTTGTTGTTTAATAAAGATAAATGTACTGTTATTAGCGTTTATCTAACAATCTAGTGATACGAACCCGAAGGATTTTGGTTAATCCGTCAAGTATTAAAGGTTACACCATGAGCCAAAAATACAAGATCACGTAATACCAAGTCCCCACCAAAAAGTTAACCATCTCAAATCGAACTTAACCACATCGCTAACTATTGCTGTCCACACTGCGGTTTGAGGTTTATAAAACAGTACAAATGTAGACAACAGTGTTCGGAGCTCCAAAACTCGATTCAGGACTAAATCGCTGCAAAAGTCGGGGCAAAACAAATTTTCCTTATTCGATTGAATTTTTTATTTTCGTTTCTGACATTAATTGTTTGACTTAAATATTTTCTATTCATGCAAAAATTAGAACGCGAGGCAATGTAAGGATAATATGTTACATATTTAGGTAATTTTTAGCATTTTCTATAAAGTAGAACATTTCTAACACTTTATTTTTTAAAGAGCAGTAGGATCTAAACCTTTTCTACTTTATATAAATTTCATTCTACATATCGTCGATGTTTTTGCAAAACTGCCCATCGCCCAATTGCAAAACCGCCTATCTTAATAATAATAATAGATTGGCGCTTACACATATGTTAGTGTTTGGCCGAGCTTCTCCTCCGACTTGTGGCGTGCGCCTTGATATTGTCACACAAAGCGGAGGGACCTACAGTTTTACGCCGACTCCGAACGGCGATTGTATTTTTATGAGAAGCTGTTTTTCATGGCAGAAATACAATCGGAGGTTTGCCATTGCCTGCCGACGGACGACCGCTGTTAAGAAAAAACCTTTTTTCTATATTTTTTGCGCCTATCTTACGGCACTCAAATTTTACAGGAGAGCGAAAAAACGGTATATTCTTTGAGGGCATTGCAATGATAGGCGGTATTCTCTGTAGCTATGATTTTACAAATCTGTTGTTTTAATAACGATTTAACGATATTTATGCATTAATATCGACGCTTGGAGTTCAGGGTTACCAAATCTCATTTTGCCACAACGGCGATTTAGGCGGTTTTGCAACCGGTCGATAGGCGGTTTTGCAAAAACATCGACGATATATTTTTAAACAACTTAAGTAAAGTTCTGCAATTTCTACAGCCATACATCAAAAAATTACGAGGTTACTTTATTGACGCATTGGTATGAAAGAATTACTTTTTAACAGTAAGATTTGGCTAACTTTGAATTTTTTTACTGAAACCGGTGGTGAACACTCACCTGAAACCTAAGAGGGGCATAAAATGAATGCAAAAAATGGAATAGAATTGAAGTCAAGCGGAGTAGATTTCAAATTTTTTCAAAAATCGGAGTAAATCTGATCTGATCTTAGTGAAGTCCAAACACTAGTAGGGAACAAATTTTTTACATTTTAAAGAGCGAAATACACCACACAAGCGGCTTGTCAAACATTCTTCAAACCTACTTTTCCCATTTCGCCATACACCATGCAAACATGACTCGTTCAAGCAAAGAATTTTAGTTTTCTTCCAGTTCGCAATGCTAAATATTATGGTTTTCTTTCATTTTCCTCTCTTACGTCCTTACTCGGTGAAAATTTCGTTGCGAATGAGGCGATTTTGCTATACACAACGCAAGCGGTTTGATCAAACATCAACATGGCGGCCAGAAAATCAAAAAATTTTGATTTTTTGCTCAAATTTCCCTCAAGCGGCTTGTCAAACCTTCAAGCACCCCCATACACAGCACAAATGGCTTGAAGCAAAGGGAAATTTCGCTTGGTTTGTCAAACCGCTTGTGTGGTGTATTTCGCTCTTAACGCTAATGACCCACAGATGGCGGGAAAACACAGGGTTGTATCAGACTTTCGACGTGGTTTCGAGTTGGTTAGCTTTTAACCATCTCAGTGAAATGGTTAAGTGCTGTCATTTTTATATGGCGAAACTACGCTAAATCAAGTGGGTTATCGGGATAACCAACTCAATAGCCATAACTACGTGGTTAGCTCCGGTGGGGACATGGTATAAGAACGCGACGTTGTATTTGTAACTGGTTTTGAGAAAAGAGTTTGCGAAAGCGGGTTCGTCAGCTGAGCGTTTGTTTACATCACAAGCACCACTATTTTACACTTTTATTTAAGTAAAGAAGAGTTAATTCATCATGACAACACATTTTCAAGCATTTTATTGCATATTTTACCTAAATTGTGCGCTTAAAGTGGCTGACAATAATTTTGGCTTATTTTGGTTTTCGTTGTTTTCTTTGCTTTCCAGTGAAACAAGATGGCGTAGAACTCGCTAAAAAAAACCGACTTTTTCACTCTATTGTTCTTACGTGATCTTGTGTCTTTCGTTCTTGAAGGTTACACCATGAACTAAAAATGAGGCTACACTGGCCACAACGGCGAACATGTGCGCGAGCCTGCTCGTCAACATGCTTGCTGTCGTTTGCCACAGATGGTGAGCGGCTCCTATGTGATCTTGTCGTAATTGCGTAAAGATGGAGAGCAATCCGAGCATGCTCGCGCACATGTTCGTCGTGTGTGGCCATTGTTATGCTTTTATCAATGTGAGTGGAAAATTTTCGATGCATCGAAACAAAAAGTCGATATTTTCGATGCATCTATGATTTTCCGACATCCCTAGTGTCATTTTCATTTAAGAATCTGGCAACGTTATTTGACGGATGACGACATAAAAAAATAAAAGTTTGCGAAAGTACGAAACATTCAATTTAACAAAATCTTAAGCAGAAAGATAAATTTTAAGCATTTATTGTCGTGGCTAAAGATTTATGACAAAATTACCAAAAAGCTCAGCAGAGGTAAAAAGCAGCCTGGCATACATACATATGCACGAACATAGTAGGAAACCTATTGTGCATTCAGTGGAATTGGAATACCTAGCATATTTTTAAATCTTGGAATACCAGAGAACAAGCGTGCAATAGTTTACGATTTGGTAAACAAATAGTTTTATTACATACGTTCATAGCCATTGCAAGTAGCTGGTGTAGAATACACATTTGAAAGATGGTGAAACTCTTTGCATTGAGCATCTTTTACAAGGGTCCAACAGAGGCACGACTGTTGAAATCGGCTTACGATTTGCAATCATTTTCTTTCTTTCAACGCGGCACAGTTCAGGAGTTTATGACGTATGTCGTGATCTTAATATAATTTATGTGTATCTACTAACAATGTATATTTTTGTGCATACATATGTGTATGAATATTTGTATTTTTTTAGTTTTGCATCAAAAACGATAGTAGAGCGCACACAGCCAGCGATGCGACAGTCAGTAAAGCAGGAAGCTTACATGTGTCATGTATATGTCCGTGCTGATAACTTGGCGGGTGTACTGATTGCTGATCATGAATATCCACAGCGTGTTGCACATACACTCATCACTAAGATATTGGACGAATTCAGCGCCAAAATAGGGCCAGAACGTTGGGAAACAGGGGCTGAATCCACCATTGACTTTAGCGTACTACCCGCATATTTAGCAAAGTATCAGGATCCCAAAGAGGCAGATGCGTTGACGAAAATGCAAAACGATTTAGATGAAACTAAGATTATTTTAAAGAATACCATCGAAGCGGTGCTCGAGCGCGGCGAAAAGTTAGATGACATGGTAATCAAGTCAGAAAATCTTTCAATACAAAGTAAAGCTTTCTATAAGACAGCTAAAAAGACCAATTCATGTTGCAGTTTCAGTTAAGTGTAGGTTACAGAAACATAAAAACATGAAGTTTTCGCGAAAAGAAATATATATTCTTTTGAAGTGTTTGCTGTTTGCAATGCCGTTTACCACATATTTGAGTTAATACTGATGCTTGAGGTGGTGTTGCTTTTTAAATTTATCAAACAAAAAATATATATATATATACATATATAAATCACAGAAGTTTATTAATGTAGGAGAAAGGGAGTTGTTACGACAAACTAATAAAAAAAGTATAATAAAATATACAATTAGCTCAAGATAAAGGAACCCACAATATACTTCATTCCAAACCATATAACTAATTTGACTTTCATTTAAAGTGTCAATATTAATTTGAGACCGGAGATTGAGATTAACTACAGTTGACAAAAATTAACCATATACATATGTACAAATATTTGCAGATGTGCTTTTTATTGAATCGTGAAATTAAATTAATGCGCTGATCATAATTGTGAAAGTAACTGACATCAAGAAAATAATGTACTACATTGGTATATAACCGCTTTTTCCTATTTACATACATATATACAAAACTATTTGTATGAATGTATGACCTTGCGGGAGGTGTCTCAAAATTAATTTACACTTGACTTGGTTGGCTATGTTTAAACGACGAGATGTTTTGGTATCAGAACAAAAATTAAAATTTAGCCAAATTGACTGCCGATAACTGCATTCAAATTTTATATGTTAAATTCTTTAACAATTTAATCTAATATAAATTCATGTACATACATACGTATAAATGTATGCATGTGGATTGTTTGCGGATAAGGTGTAACAAAAGGACGTGGATGTCCGCCCAGCTTATTAGATACATACATATATGTAAAATAAACAAACATCCCTGCAAACCAAAGCTCCGAACATCTTATACGAAATCTTTAATGTGTTCCGAAATCGTGTGGCAATATCTTTACGAATCTTCAACGAAAATTATACGAAATGGTTGACATGAACACGTAAAGAAAATTCTATACGATTGCTTAAAATTCGGAAAAAAACATTGAATCATTCTTCTCATTGTAGCATAATTTTTCGGATTTTCTAACGAAATTTCGTAAAAGAATAGAATTGTGCTCATTACATTTCATTTTAGAAAATACTATTCAGAAAATTCTGAAAGCATGTTTGCAGGGAGGTTAAGCTATATATCGAATTTCTAAACAAAAACTGATCAAAAGTAAGAGGATTGGTTCCACCGTTTAACTTGTTTACATCTCTACTACACAATACTGGGTAATTTTGATTGTGTTAAGTTAGACTTGCAATGACGCTAAAGATAATGTAAATTGTTATAAAATAAAAAATATGGATTTTAATGCTATAAAAAAATATAGTTGCAAAATTTCTATAAGTTTATGAGAACACTCAACCCCAATTTACCTTTTTATTTTTTTACGTGCTAATGTACGAGCAATTCAATTCCATTTTCGAAAATTCCATACTTTTTTAAATTATGTTTTGTTTTTTCAAAAACTGTAGTTAATTTAATAGTTAAGTTTTTATGCTCATCAATTTATTGATTTGTTTTTGTTTTTTTGTTATATTGAAGTTTAATAATTACACTTTTTCTGAAATGCGATTTTTTTACATATTCGATATGTGAGCTTTCAGGATACACCAAAATATAAAAATTCATAGCCATTCCTTAAGAAAATATGAAACTCATCGGCATATTTAGAACAGCCCTGAGAGCACTCTTTTCGTTAATTTAAAAAATTGTTTGCTTCTATAAGGTTTAAAAATTGTCAAAAAGGCTATTTTGCATTGATGCTGATATGTACATACATACAAATGTATGTATTGACATAAAAATACGAATAACCCAAACGAACTACAAAATCCTATTTATCAAAATTATAGTATCTTCTAGATGTAACTTAACTTTGAAAATGTGAAATACATAAGTGTTGAAAGATTGGTGTCATTATCGGTCACATAATATTATAACCGTAAAAATTCAGACAGATTCTACGTGAATAAATAAAAAAAAATACATAATTAAAGTTCTCATTTTCGTTGTTGGTGTTTCCGACAGGGTAGGAGTGTGATGTAATGTGGAATTAGGAGTTTTAAACGAAAGTTTTAGTGAACAATTATTCATAAAGCTTTAATTATATGATGAAAATGTGGAACGATTTTCCGCTATCCCTTGACCAATTTGGTTTGGAGGCAAACCGGTTTGTTTCACTAAAACTTTGTTTAAAATTCCTAATTTCCCTATCACTCAAAAATGAGCTCCAATTTAAATAGTTCACATTAGGGGTCTTCATGTAAACTAATAAGAGGATAAATTGCTTAGAACTCATTATTTAACTTATATGGCTAGTTACGTTTCATTCTTACCTCATCCATTGCGTTCATTTGCTTGTATGTGTTCGCAGCAAAAGCGACTACCTGGCAACCTGAAATTTATACATTTATCCACCAAAGTCGTTTGATAAAGTGATAAACTTTGTTTAAATAGACTTGCATACAAAGTTTGACTGTTCATTTATCAAAATGATAAAGTTATCACTTTATCAAGTTCATTAAGAGTTTATCACTTTTGATGAAGACCCATATTGTTCAAACTAATAAGTCAAGTACCAACTCGTGTTTGAAGTATAATTTTTAAGGCACAGCTAAAATTTAATCAAAACAAATTCGCATTGAGTCAAACTACATATTTACAGGGGCGACGCATAACAGTTAGCCAGACATTTTTTGAGAAATAAAATGGTTCTTCATAGGTTTTGCGAAAAAAGTATTTTATTGTTAATTTTGTTCATATTTTACTTTTAGTTTTTAAGGTGTAACCATTATTTTGGTTTACCCTATACAGTTTTAATTTATTTTTGCCTTTTTTTCATACAAGGTCTAAGAAAAAATACACCTTAAAAAGACTTGCGTGCAGCATGCATGTGTGTACTTGTCTTCAAAAGCTTACACTGCTGGCAAATGCAAATAAGGAATACAATTTTAAAACTATGTAATTATCAAAATTAAAGTAAAATTTGTACAAATTAACAATAAAATACTTTCTTCGCAAAATGTATAAAAACCCCCGCTATTAAATAAAAAAAAAACTGTGTAACAGTTATTCGTTGCCACGCTGTGTAAAATTATACATGTAATTGCTTTCAAGTAATGCATTTTTAGCTCTGACTTTATTATTTTTCTCCTATGGCTGCGACCACTGTGCAATTCTTAAAAAAAAAAGCTAGTCGGAACCGGAACTACCGGGATTTATGTTCGGTGAATAAGTGTCGCTGCAGCAGCATTCTGCTTTTAATTTATGGGGATTATTCATCTTGCTGTAAAAAATTTACTAGTGATCTTAAAATAATTTTACACAAACAAAATACATAGGGAAAAGTTATCGAACACCGAGTTACCAAATACGAAGCGCCGTATGAAGATCCCTACCATGTATTTTATTCCTTAACCGCAGGTGAGCTGTCACAATCAGCTGACCTCCACTACTTGTATACTGCTCCCCATATGCGCAAAGAAATTCCAATTCCATTTCGTAGCACAAAGTCTACAAAAGCCCCAATACATGTACTTACATATGTATGTACATTAGGTTGGTAAAAAAAAGTTTAAAATGTTAACCTCTCACCCAATAGGATTTTGCTAAGTAGAAAAAAAAATACCCGTATTTTTGGTTTAAAAAAATATATTTAGAAGCGGTTCAAAGCCTGTGAAGTATTTTATATGGGGAAAAAACACTAACTAAACAATTCTAAATATTTCTTCTTAATAAAGAAATACCTGTATTCTTTTTTCTATTCAGAAAAATCCCAGGGGGTGAAAGCTTAGCATTTCAATATCTTTGGACCACCCTAATGTGCATTCACACATACATAATCTCCACACTGGGTGCAGTTGTATTAGTGTATACGAACCTTTGACAGCTCGTTGTGCTTCTACATACATAAATAAATAAATAAATATTTGTTGATATTTCGGGCTAAACAGTGCTTCATTTGACACAAAATTTAGGTACTCAGCACGCGATAAAGGTATTTTCTTTAATTACAGAAGTGTAGTATTTAAATATTTACATACCAATTACTTGTTGAATAATACTAAAACGATAAAAAGTATCACAAGTGTTTGCATTCTATCTGCGTAAGTTGGTGATTACTCATTCAATATTTTTCTCTAGTTTTCTAATTGCTATTCAAAATTTGTAACTTGTTTTGATTGACCCACATTAATTTATACCTCTCGAATGTCTGGTTGCCGCCTAACATACAAACTTATTTACGTATGTACATACTACATACGCATATACTTTACATGTACTATGTACATACGTACAAACATAACTAATGAGTAAAGCCGAAAAATATAAACAAATTCATACATATGCGTGTATGTATACTAGGGTGGTCCAAAAACATTGTAATGCTCTCACCCCCTAGGATTGTACTACATCGAAAAAAAGTATGCCCCTATTTTTTATATTGAAATCAAAAATATTTTCGCTCAAAGCGCTCAAAGTTTTCCATGTATTTTCATATGGGAAAAATAAAACTTTTCGTAGAAATGGTATAGAACTCTTGAAAATTGGTCGCCCCATTGCATTTTTCGGGTTTTTTGTGGATTTTTGGCAGACCTAGAAATAATAGAGCGATGAAAAAATGATTAAATAAACAATTGGGTATTATTATGGCTAATCTCCTGCAGATAAACAGGGTTTTCTGGTAAAAAAATATTGATTTTTAATTATTCTATACCATTTCTACGAAAAGTGGTTTTTTCCCATATAAAATACATGGAAAACTTTGGACGATTTGAGCGACCTCTAAATATTTTTTTGATTTCAAAAAAAAAAAAAAATATGGGTATATTTTTTCGGTATAGAACAATGCTAGGGGATGAGAGCACAAAAATTCCAACTTCACTTTTTCACATGCATATTTGGACCTAATGTATACCCTATAAACATTTTCGCAAACGTACGAAAATTACCTTCGATATTCAATATGCATTTCGAACTGAGAACGAACTCATAACCAACCTTTGTTTTCCAACGTTCCTAGTATACTGGAAAAACATTCGAGATGGGTTTGAAAAAATATGAAAACCATAGTAATAAGGGAGAAAGGGAAATCCAGTGCATTATCGAAAAGAAATATAAGACATCATTAAAAAGGAAAAATACGTTGGATAACGAAGGTTCCGTCTTGCTGGAGAATGGCCTAGTTCCCGAATCGAATACTAACCTATCCACATTTTTTTCCAATATTTTTTCGAATTGTTAACCAAGCCCAATGTTTATTGGGTATACATATGTATGTATGTATGTATGTATGTATGTATGTACCCATGTGTGTATATATATAGTGCTATGCTATAGTGCCGTGCAAAACCGAATTCAAGCATACTGCATAGTCATGTACCAGGGATGTGAGATTAATTAATGTGAATATAATTAATTAATCGAACATGCTGATTAATCGAAACATAACTAATTTATCAAATAATAATTACTTTTGATTATTTTTCCCGCTTAATTTCGTTTTGATTTCTAAATAATAAATAATTTGATTAGTCGGAAAACAAATTAATAAGAACCTGATTAATCAAAAACTTGAATAATTGCTGTTATTATATTTTAGTTTATTTAAAACTAGAAACAAATATATACACGTTGTTTTTCATTTCAAAGAGCTACATAAATGCATACTTATTTATGTTTTTTTTTTTTTTTTTTGAAGAGGTCGCACAAAGCGTTGAAAGCCGAAAAGTGTAGGACTTGCCTTTCGGCTCACAGCACTAAAAAACCACCCCTCCGTTTCCCACCCACTGTGGAACTACCGTAAGGCATTGTTGCACGGAGAGGTAGGGGGAGAGGGGCGGCCTATTGCCTTTCTATGAAAAACTGGGGATTAAATTAAGTTCAAATTGTGTTTGCCAAATTGCAGACAACGGACCAATTTTCTTCCGACTAAGGCATAGCATCCACGAGGTCATTAACCGCAAGTGGCCACCCCACCTTCATGCTCGAGTGATCCCTTTGATTGCAAAACGGGTTTAGCGTCTTCAGTAGGTACTATCCTTTGTGATCGTCATTATGCTCAAATGGGTTCAAATAAATATGATTTGAAGCAACTATGCCTCGTAAATATTTGGGTCAGGTGGAAATCCACTTCCCCATGTTGACAACTTACCCACATTGATATCAGGGTATCCGGAGGTACGCGGCTATCGTAGCTCTTACGTTCGGTATACGAATGGTTATTTTAGACTTATGGCCCACTGCTTAGACGGCTGGAACGGCCTAGTTTCCAATCCGCGTGCCGCTTCGGTTGCACGAATTTCAAAGCCCCACTATCTCGTCGGTTGGAACGGTCAAGGTTCCAATCCGCTCCTACGCTTGGCTGCGCGAGGTCAAAAGCGCACTGCTTTGGCGGTTGGAACGGCGGGGGTTCCAATCTGCTTTTACGCTCCAAGTGCACAGGGTTGAAAGCCGCACTATTTCGGTGGTTGGAATGGCCGAGGCTTCAATCATCCCCTGCTCATCGCATGCACGAGGTTCAAATATGCCCTGGCTTGGCGGTTGGGATGTCCGAGGTTCCAATCCGCCCCTACTCATCGCATGCACGAGGATCAAAGTCGCCCAGGCTTGGCGGTTGGGACGGCCGAGGTTCCAAACCGCTCTTACTCCAAGGAGGAGCGTCCTTTCTATGAATATCAGCGGGAGTTTTTATCCTAAGAATGGTGCGTGCCATATGGCAAACATCGGACCAATTTTCGATTGACTCAAGCATGATACCCACAAGGTTGTCAACCATAAGTGGCCTCCCCACCTTCCTGCTCAAGTAATCCCTTTCGGTTGCGAATCCTGGGGCAAACAAAAAACAATGTTCTGTGTCCTCGATTACCTTTTCAGTACAGACCGTGCAGTAGGGATCATCCTCGTATGTAAGTCTGTATAGGTACGCTTTAAAACAAGCGTGTCCCGTTAGTATTTGAGTAAGGTGGAAGTCCACTTCTCCATGTCGCCTGTCAAGCAATTTGCTTGAATGCTCGGAATGAGTTTATATGTCCAACGTCCACTAGTTGAACGGGTCCAACAAACCTGCCACTGCTGCAAGCTGTTTCGCTTCGCTGTTTTTCTAGTTCGTATGTACATATGTATGTATGTAACTACATACATAACAACGACTTGGATAGTACATACATATGTAAACGTATTACTAATAAAAATATTGGGGGTTTTCTAAGTATGTAATCAAAAAACTAATTAACCGATTAATCGGACATCCCTATTATGCAAATACAAGAGATGCATAATTACTTACTTTTGTATTAAAAGTACCCGTTTGAAAACGAAATAACCATATATATATACATGCATCCCAGTAGATAATTTCAGGAGTTAAAAGCCCTTCCGAAAGGCCTTTCTGAGAGTCAAGAGGCCTTCCACTCTACATTCCTTTCTTCTTTCTTTTTTTTATGGAATGGCACAAATTGAAGTGCTTCTTCTTTCGCTATCCACAGAACGCCTTCCAGAAGGGCGTTTATAGGACCTACTTCAGAAGGCCTTTTGGAGGAGTTATTTTGAAAGTTGCTTCTTTAATTTATAAAAATCATACATCTTTGAAGTATTTGCTTAAGGTTTATATCAAATATTTATTATTGCAACTTAAAATGTTTATTGAAATTCATTTCTAATGGTAAATAATATAAATTTATGCATTCGCGTAACTTGTAAATGAATACGCCCTTCTAGAAGGCATGCAAGGAAGCACTTTTTTCAGCCTTTCTTGAGTAGGCTTCTTAGAATGGCTTTACATAAGAAGGCCTACCAAAATTATCTTCTGGGATGTATGTATATGTATTCAGATATACCTAAATACTAGAGTAGATTTCTAAATACTAACTAAACGGTTAGGGAAAAGAAAAAATATTAGGTTAGTTTTGTTTTGACAAAAATACTTCGTGATTTATCCGAACTTTTCAAGATTTTCTCCGTATTTTGCATGATTTATTCGGAATTGACGTAGAAAATTTCCGAGTTTGCATGCATATTTAACATTTTTTATATACACGCTTCAGTTATTAGTAACACATCATGTCTCAATTCGTGGAATATATTGAGCCACTTTGGCGTGGCTTAAATATGCGAGAACTGAAGGTCGATGAAGCCTACATGGTAGTTAAGTCTCATTACGAAAAGCCAGCTTATCTTTACAGTCGTTCGGAGGAATGTTATACGGTGAGTGAAAAATTCTGTGTATATGAAATTAACTCAAAATACTAACTATGCAATTATTTCGACTAATTCTTTTTATTTTTTTCACCAGTGTTCCTACAGCTATGTGAAATCAATGCAAAATTTTACGTTTAAATTAAATGTCGCAAGAGGTTGGGAATTTAAAGTGTTTGGCAAAGATGTGGAGCTGACGACCAACAATGATATGTAAATTTGAACATTTATTGTTTCGAAAAAAAAAAACCAACAGTCGCTTTCTTTCCTCAGGCAATGCAATGACACGATTTGCGACAGTGTTTGCAAATTGTATTCGCCCGCGACAATGCTGCAAGAGTTTGGAGTCTATAATTTTACGCTACGAGCAAATGGTAGCTGCGAGCTTATAACAGACAAGACAGGCGTTAATGTGAATTTGTGTAAGCGTACAAAGAAAATACCAAGACCTTCCCGCCAAAAAGACGTGACTTTTTCTATCAAATTTTTATTTTTGATGCAGAATTGTTCCTAGAACATCTAGAGGCATTTTTGCATCAAAAAGAAAATTTTGAAAAAAATTTCGCTTACGTCTTTTTGGCGGATAGGGCTTGATATTTTTAAAATTTTACATTTTTTATAATTTTACTTTTATTTACTCGTAAAATATTATTTTAAACTGAAAATCTTGCTTTTTAGCGCTCGCATCGCTGTTTCTTTTAGTCACTATGTTGTTGACGGTTATACGCACATCCTGGTGTGTCTGGCGTTCGTACACCTTCATCCCGGAGCAGGAAGCTGGCGCCAATGTTATACCTGAGCAGCCGAGTAATCGAATGCGTAGCCTAGATGCTTTTCGAGGGTATATGTACATATGATAATCAATTATTTTACATTTATATATCGATACCTGAGTGAAGTGGCAGCCAGTTCGAAAACGTCCTACTTCAGAATTTGATTGATTTTGAATGAAACAACACCCTATCTCGGAATTTGGTTGAAGAACGCGGCTATGTTGTCGTTGTTGTTGTAGCGGCACTACTAAGGCCCGCCTATTTCGGTTCATCCATCAATCATTGTCGCCAAGCTCAACTAATGGTAGGCCCAATAAACGGGCAGTTTCAACAGGGTCCGACAAAAGGGTGTTAGTTGAGTGGATGGTGTCGTGCGGGGAGTCTCCACATGCCGGACACTCATTGGGGATATTGGGGTCAAGTCTGGACAGGTAGCTGTTGAGGCGGCTACAGTATCCAGACCGTAACGCTCTATCTCAGCTGCCGATTCAAAAACGCTCTATCTCAGCTGAAAATGCATTGAAAATGAGCTGAGATGGCATGATTCAATCATAAAAGGTTTTTGAATCGGCCGATGAGATAGGGCGTTCTTCAACCAAATTCCGAGATAGGGTGTTTTTCATTCAAATACTAAAGTAGGACGTTCTTGAAAAGTTTTCGCACTGGCTGCCGAGATAAGTCGATCTTCCACTCAGGTGTACTTATTCTCTTTTTTTATAACTATTTCATTCTTTTTATTCCAGCATGGCCATAGTATTGATGATATTTGTCAATAGCGGTGGTGGTGGTTATTGGTGGATCGAACATGCACCATGGAATGGTCTGCACTTGGCTGATGTAGTTTTCCCCTCATTCCTTTGGATAATGGGAGTTTGTATACCGATTTCGGTGAAGTCACAAGTGGCTCGAGGTACGCCAAAGGCTAGCATATGTAGGCGAATTGTTTGGGTGAGTCAACTGTTAACAGTTAGGAACCCATTATTTATACACGATATTTGGTACCTTGTAAAGAATCTGTTGATGTAATGTTTTTTTGCTGTAAACAAAAATTTGGAAATGAGTTGATCATTGCCGTCTATCAAGTTGACCCAGTGATCGTCATTATTATAAATAAGTAAAAAAATAATACATGAACGTTTCTTTCGCAGAAATTTGTTCTTTGGTTTTTTTACACGTATGTGCATATCGTTACTCCAATATAGAAAAAGCCTTAACTAACTAAAAATTAAAAAAAAAAATCACTTTTTGATTGATTATGATGCATTTCATCGAGTTATAAGTTCCCACATCGCTTTATGCAATACAAAATTTTAGTTAGTTACTGCTTTTTTGCAGTGCAGCGACCACGTGAGATAGGGCCTTTCTACATTAAGGTAACGATATATAATAAAAATTGTAAAATATGTATGTACATATATTTTTAGCGTTCGTTTAAGTTATTCGTCATAGGCATATGCCTCAACTCCATAAATGGTCCACAAATGAAAGATCTACGCATAATGGGCGTGCTACAACGTTTTGCTGTTGCCTATCTTTTTTGCGGCTTGGTTCACACTCTATTTGTTCAAAAGGAGTTCCTAATGCCGCAGGTAAGCATTCTACTCTAAGTTCTCCTGGGTTTAATAACACCACTTTTCGGAAACTTAAAAAAATATTCTGCCTTATCCTGAGTTTCGCCAGAAAAAAATTCATCCGAAAATTTGTATTCCGCCTATGGGATGCCTTTTTATTCTTAAAACAAAATTGTATGTTCGGATACGGTGCTTTAGAAAAGTTCCGATTTTTGTACACAGTAATCTGGTCACCGTAAGTAGGTATATTTAGTGCAAGTTTGAGGTAGCTAAGACTTACTTACCGTTGATTTTTTATGAAGGTTTTGCACATTTCCTTCCATAGAACATATGCTGCAATTTTTATTTTTATACGGATGGTCAACAAAAAATTTTCAAAAATCAAAGGTAAGTCTTAGGTACTTCAAACTTAGACTTTGTTGGAAGAAATATTCAATGGGCTATAAAACTGCATACAAAAACAATTTCTAAAAAACCGAATTAAAAAGTTGAAAATTTTGATGAAAATTTGTTAAATTTTCTTAAGTTTTTCATAAGGCTTTTTGTGGATGTTTTTTTGTAGGAAGAACTGTACTTTTCTAAAAAATATATATGTATATAAATGTGTTAACTCAGACACAACGAATTCATAACGCGAGCAATCATTGTTGCGTACGGCACAGTACATATTATGTCCAGTCAATCCAATAATACTTAAATACAAATTTTTCTTACAGATCGCTTGGAAACGTGCTTTGTGTGATGTTCTTTTATTGCGAGCAGAATTTTTAGTCATGACCTCGCTCATTGCGATTTATTTGGGTCTGATATTTGGGCTTCCCGTACCTAACTGTCCCACGTAAGTTTGTGTATTCAATTTAACAACTTACATACATATTAGGATGGTCCTTAAAATATCAACTAACAAAAATAAAGTCATCCACAAAAAGCTCAAAATTTTAAAAGTTCAAATTTTTAAAATAATTTTTAGGGGTCGCCAACAGGGAATGAAATTTGTTTAGATAAATCTGATAAACTTGACATATTTTTGAAAATTATTCATATAAATTCATAGTCATCGCTCGCCAAATGGATTCATCATGCAATATTAATTTCGAAAGTGCAGCATTTTTTTAATTTTTTCCAAGTTCTATAATACTGGTTTGCAAATAATTATTTTGAAAACTTATAGAGGAGAGTTCATACGGACATCCTGAGCTGAAAACGATTTTTTTTTTTAATTTTTCTTAAGGCATTTTTTTTTAGACAGTAGTATTTTTGTGTGTTTACGATATATGTATGTACATACCACTTATTTTGACCGGAATAAAACTTGCTGAGTTATAGCTAGCTAAAGTCAAAATTTTGTAGAATATTCGCGATTTACGAAAAATTTAAATTTTTTCAACCCCTAAAAATTATTTTAAAATTTTGAAATTCTGGTAGATCTCTTTATTTTGCATGTATGTAGAACAAAACAAAGGGATGACCCGAAAAAATTTAGATGTTGATAATTTTAAGAACCACCCTAATACATACACACTACATTCGTATGCAGACCTATATCAACTACTTACATACATATAATTTCATTTTTCGCAGCGGTTACTTGGGTCCTGGCGGCAAACACGCTCTGGCAAATTATCCCAATTGCACGGGTGGCGCCACTGGCTATATTGATCGTCTGATTTTAGGCAATTCACACATCTATCAGCATCCGACAGCAAAGTATGTGTACGGCGCTCAGGCATTTGATCCGGAAGGAGTTTTTGGTAGCCATAAAAACTCAACTCTTCATTTTTAAATTCCTCTTTCAATAAAAAAAAAATGCATATCATATTTCAGGTTGCCTTTTGACTGTGGCTCAGACCTTTTTAGGCGTGCTCGCTGGCGTTATTATATTGGTTCATACTAACTGGAGCGCACGTATTAAACGTTGGCTCTACTGGTCTATTGGATTAGCTCTGCTGGGTGGCACACTTTGTTTTTTCTCCATAGAAGAAGGTCCTATACCAATTAATAAAAACCTCTGGTAAGAAATTAATTTAAAAACGTCTATATGTTGTACTAATAGATATGCTAATCTCGTTTTTTCTCTGCAGGTCTCTTTCTTTTGTTTTGGTCACCTCTGGATTGGCCTTCTTTGTGCTCAGCTTACTCTATTTCGTTATTGATGTGCAACGTTGGTGGACTGGCTATCCATTCGTGCAGTCCGGCAAGAATGCCATTATAATGTATGTGGGTCACACCGTGATGCATAAAATGTTGCCGTGGCATTGGCGCATTGGACCAATGAATACTCATTTTGTGCTCTTGCTTGAATCCACATGGAATACTTTGCTTTGGGTTGCTATTGCATTGTATTTAGATTCGATAAAATTTTACTACAGCTTATAAAAGAACAAAACTTAAAAAAAAAGAATAGTGCAATGTGAGAGCAATAGTTTGAGGTATTTTAAATTTAAGAATTCCCGAAAATGTTGTAATATATATGTATAATACAATCAAAAAAGAAATGCATAATTTTACATAGTCATATACTATATAGTTAGATAAGATTGTAACAGTAAATTTACCTTAAATTTATATCTACACATATTTAACGCTTATATATTTTGTAATACAAACTCGTATTTTTAATCAAAGGGATTTATCCCTCCAGTATTGGTTTGAATAAATATTTTGTATACTTGATTGGGCGCTATTTAAGAAATACATGAGTACTTACTGCAAAAAAAAATCTGTGGTGGTCAGCGAATTATCTGAGTGGTCGATATTCGTCAGTAATCTTTAGAGACAAAACTAGCAACCCTAGGAAAATTAAACCCTTTTGGATTACTACATATCAAAGCTACCTCAGCCAACAGAGGGAGTCTCTATTGTCTACTATGCTGACGACTGCTTGACAATGGCGTCCGGGAATGTAATTGATGACTTGTACTCGAAAGTAAACGGTTACTTCTCCAAACTTTCCCACTTCTTCACTGCAAGGAACTACCTGGACGTAGGAGATCAGATGAGAGCTGGGAATTCACGCCGACGAAGAAAAAATTCCGACGGCGAATAACCCAAAAATTCTCGGAGTTACCTTCGATAGTCTGCTCTCCTTCTCGACAAATACAACTGCAATTGTCAACAAAGCCCAACAAGGTCCCCAAGTCGCTAGCCAGCAGCACATGGGGGCAAAGAAAATGAAACGTTGTTGGCAACCAGTAAAGGAGCATAGCACGATGCTCAGCAATCAGTTCTTAGTAGGGTGTCACAGACGCGGGCACCCGAACATACACTTGCTTGCAGGTTCATAAACTAACCTCTGCACCCGACAGCATACCGACAGGCCAAACCAGCGCATTTACAGTGAGTCGGTTTCGATTTACACCAACTCCCGACCTATGATTGCCGTTTTGGGAATACAGCCACCCGACGTAGACGAGACAGAGCTTTGTCCGCCTCGGAAGACTCACACCACCATAGCCCAATTATGCTCTGGCTAATGCAGCAAGCTAAACTACTTGAGCAGAATAAATGCAGATGTGCCCAATGAGGGTCTGGCATGCGGAAAAATACCTCACGACTCGTGACATCTCATCGCATGCCACACTCCCCTCTTCCTTTTTGGCACTACAACCGTTTGTCGGTTTGGGCCGAGACAAGAAAGCGTCTCCAATTGCTTCTCTCCTGTGCGAATTTGCGCCAGTTGGTTATCCCGAGCGCAGACAGGTCCTTCTGTACTTTGCTCTTCCATACTCTCTTGAAAGAGAGGAGCGAGAGCCAAACAGCCAAAGGAACGCGAAAAAGCACTTTTCGTGTAACTATTCCGCGCTCATCACGGATATTTACGGTGAACATCCGTCTTGTATTGTACGGGATAGTCCTCTTTTATAGTAAATTGTCTTGGTAATTTATTTAATTCTTAAGGATGCAAAATTTTCTGTACATATTACTTTTACTGTTCCGTCAGAGCAATTTTTGGATGAAAAATCGCTTGATTACTTCAAAAGCAGTAAATAAGTTCATTTGGGACCGAGAACATAAAAAAATAAAAATAAAACTTTTTAATATACATACCACAGCAGCAGTAGCAGTGTGCGCTACCATTCCGAAGAGCTTGGGTTCGAGCCCAGTTTCAAATATAAAAAAAAAAATTTTTTCGGCGGGCAATGGCAAACCTTCGAGGGTATTTCTGCCATGAAAAACAGTTTCTCATAAAAATACAATCGCAGTTCGGAGTCAGCGAAAAACCGTACGTCCCCCCCCTTTGTGTGACAACATCTAGGCGCACGCTTCAAATCGGAGGAGAAGCTCGGTCAAACACTAACATATTGTGTAAGGGCAATCAATTATTATTATACTGGTTTAAAAAGCCCTTTTAACATAAACGCGCTCAAAATAAAGTGGTCTTCGTATTCTTAATTGGCACTGAAGTCTCTTCTTGTTTGATTTCGAGAACTTCGCATATTGTCAATTTTCTTTGCGAAGTTGCGCCAGTTATTCACTCCGCTTGCGGATCCCAAAACTCGCTTGCAAGCTTCTAAACATCCACATTCAATGTTAACCACAATAAAAGCTCTTAATTTCACTGGAATGCATTGGAAATTCTTTAGCAAACTAATAGAAAATTCACGCCATTCAATACCGTTTGTGGTTCGCATAAATGATTACTTTGGTAGCCTGCAGCTGATTTCCCAAACTTAGCCAAATACAACGTGCTGCAAAATTTAAATCACTCACTGCCGCTTTACTGCAGTTTTGGCGCAAAGTTTTTCTTTTGATTTCTTCTCATAAGCTTATCTTCGATGGATTTCGTCTTGCCTTTTAGCTATTTTTCCAACGTATTTTGAGCGAACAACGTGAGGTGGGAGTTGTTTTTACGTTTTGGTGTGTGATTGTTCGCAAGTACAGTATGTATGAACATTAGGGTGGTTCAAAAATGCATGTGAAAAAGCAATGTCGGAATTTTTATGCTCTCACCCTTTAGGACTGTTCTACACCGAAAAAATATACCTCTGTTTTTGAAATCAAAAATATTTAGCGGTCGCTCAAAGCGCTTAAAGTTTTCCATGAAAAAAACCCTTTTCGTAGAAATTGTAAAGAATTCTTCAGGAGATTCCAAATAATAATATCCAATTACTCTTTTAAACAATTTTTCATAGTAACTGTATTTCTGAGAGTTTCCGCCAAAACCCCCAAAAAATTTCAGAAAATGCAATGGGGGGCTAAATACAAAATCTTTAGCATTAAAAGATGGTTAAATAAACAATTGGGTATTGTTATTGGAAGTCTCCTGGAGAGAGAACCACAGTTTTCCGATCGAAAAATATTGATTTTCAAGAATTCCATACAATTTCAACGTAACGTTGTTTCTCCCATATATAAAATACATGGAAAGCTTTGAGCGCTTGAGCGACCTCTAAATATTTTTCAATTTCAAAATAAAAAATATGGGTATATTTTTTCGATATAAAACATTCCTAGGGGGTGAAAGCATTAAAATTCCGACTTTATTTATTTTGGACAACACTAATGAACATACACATGTTTACTATGTAGAGTAACTATTTTTGCTTGTCTGATCTCCTTACGAGCATTAAAATGGGAGAGGATGTTCAAAGTGTGAAAATTACTTTTGGTACGAAAGTGAATTTGTTGTGTTGTTTGTGAAACCTGTGTCGCATATTGATGACACGGCTGCCGGCGGCAACTTTTGTGAGTTTAATTGAGTACTGCGGTACTTGATTGTCTTGAGACGCAGACTGTAGATTTTGTTAGTGTTTATGTCTTGCCAGTGGCATAAGTACAATATGTTGTTAGTTGAAGTATTGAAGTACGAAAGTGGTATGATTTAAACTTAAAATTTAGTTTGAATTCTCTCGATAATTTATTGAAATATAAGAAATGGAACTGAGAATGGTTCATTCCTGTGAAAATGGACGCCTCGCCGGATACTTAAACTTGGAGCTTTCAAGCAGGAGCTATGTAACGGGTGATTTTTTAAGAGCTTGATAACTTTTTTTTAAAAAAAAACGCATAAAATTTGCAAAATCTCATCGGTTCTTTATTTGAAACGTTAGATTGGTCCATGACATTTACTTTTTGAAGATAATTTCATTTAAATGTTGACCGCGGCTGCGTCTTAGGTGGTCCATTCGGAAAGTCCAATTTTGGGCAACTTTTTCGAGCATTTCGGCCGGAATAGCCCGAATTTCTTCGGAAATGTTGTTGTAAAGTAAGGGTGCCCATGAATGCAATGAAGGAACAAACTTTAGAAGAACCTGTCTACACTTGGTGTGGGCGTAACTTCGAAAAGAAGACTGAGGAAATTTGGGATCACGGCCCCAAACTGGCCGATCAGAATACTTTCAGTAAAATTTTAATTTTCAAAATGTAATAATTTCTTCTATAAAGATATTTTCTCGATAGATAAACTTCATGGGTAATAAAGCTAGTTATTACTATGAATGCATGTAGAAAATTTCAGCACAATAGTATCAATAAAGCACAATACTACTCACAAAATGCAAAGCGTTTACTATTAGAATTGCACATCAGTTATACGACTTTCAATTATATAATTTTCCTCTCTATCTGATAATATCACTTTAATTGTTGGTAATTTGTACAAATTTGTGGCAGAGAAATTTCAATTGCAAAGGACACTACACGTGTATGTGTTTCTTTGTTCATTTAATGTTTGATATTGTGCTTTTAAAGTTTGAAATTATTAATTAGACCGTACTTGTGACAAATGAAACTTATATGGAAAATAAGATTAACACACTTCTGATATAAGTATGTAAACATATACATATGTATGTAATTATGTATGTGCGTATGCTCACATCTGTATGTAACCGCAGTTGCGCATGGCTTAATATGCAAAATTTGAGTGGTACTAAATATAGAATTTAAGCATATACGAGGTATTATAGTATATGGATACATAAGTATGTATGCATGTTCACATGAATGTAGGTAACTTATGCATGTACGCACATGCACTGTTCTAGTGTGAATTTAATTTTATCTTGATTGCTGCGAAAGTAGCTTTTATTACGTGCAGTAAATCTTACGTTGATGAAATATTGAGTTTAGAAAATATAAGTTTAATTAATTTACATATTATAACTTCAATTTAATTACAGCAAAATATTATGGAACTTGCCTATGATTAATTTAGTATTGTTGGACAAAATAATTTATTAATAATGAGAGTAATGAAAGGTTGCGATGAAATTAAAGTAGCAACATTTAAAGAGGGGCCATGCCATTGTGACTGGCAGAAAATTCAGAATGTTATCAATATAACTATATCATCGGAACTTATAAAACAGTGAATTTGTATGTAAAAAAAAAATCGCTCGCTGATTCCGAAAACCGAGGTATTTTTTTTTTTTGTATGGATACGTTTTAGAGATATTTGCAATTTACCGTTATTCAGCTTAAAAAAAAGAGTGGTTCCAACTAAACCGGTATATCTTACGAAGCAATTAAATAATCGTAATACGAGGTACGGCAAATGATAAAAAATTAAGTTCTCCTTAAACCGTGCATAAATTACTTTTCGATAGTTTCTGAGAAATTAATTAATCATTCCAGATTTTTTATTTTATTTTTTGATGGAAAAATGCAAAAAATTCAAACTTTAACAGGGAAAAAGTCAAAACATAACAGTCTCGGTGTAAACATTTTGCGTTTTGTGCTAAAGCCTGTTCCTTTAGAAAAAAAACTAAGCTACCAATGAAGAAAATCGATATATCAATAACAAAATAATGTTTGGTCAAATGAAAATGCGCAAGGATTTTTTTGTATGAAATATCAGCAGAAAAGAGTGTTACTCATACGTCACTTACACCTGAGTAGGTAGAGTGTTTGCATCGAAAACAAGAGTTAATTATTAATTAATTTCTCAGAAACTATCAGGGCTATCGAAGAGTGATATATATACGGTTTATGGAGCATCCATAGAACATTTTTGTTGTAAACCAGTGTAGTTAACCGCGTCAAAGACGAAAATAAATATTTTTTTTAGTAAAAAAAGGATGGTTTATGAACAAAAGCAAACTGTCTAAAAATTCTGAATACAAATTTTGAAATTTTGATGAAACGCTTGGTATTTTTAGAATTTTTGAACAAAGTTTGAAATTGGGATTTATATGGTTTTTTATAGAATGAACTAAATATATTTTTATAAAAAATAGTTCAAATTAAATAATAAAAAATAAATGGATAAAACTAGTCAATATATGGATGTCGTACCTATCGTAAGCACTATGTATGTATGTATATATAAATTAACATATCGACACTTCCAAACCATACCATGCTAAGTCATTAGAGACTTAAGCTGGAACTTCATAGGGAAGCGGAGGATACGTACAACTAGGAAGTCAAACGCACGCATAAGTATACGCTTGCCTATGGAGCCCCAGCTTTAGGCAGACTTAGCCTAGTATGGTTTGGAGGCGTCGATATGTAAGTACTAGAGCTTGGATTTCTATGCAAAG